TGATTGCTGATTAGCACTCCCCCCTTCAAGGCTGTCAAGGTCCAGAAGCAAGCAGCTTTTTGGAGGGTTTGGACCCCCTGGCCCCTAATTGCTCTCCTCTTGGGCAATAGAAGCGCAACAGCAAGTAAGGAAATTATGTTTCTGTTTCCCGGTTCTGAAAAGGACCACAATTACTGAGGGTGCCTCTGTGTTATTTAGGGGGGACTGGCCCAAACCTTGATTCTTCAATCAGGCTGCGGCAATAGGTTTGCTGTTCTGGATAGCTGACATTCTGGAGGTCTGTTTTAGCACTCCTTAGAACTATGAAAGGAAGCAGCATTGGAAGATGTGTTTGTTCTAAGGGGCGGGGAAGGTTCGCGCTGGCCGGAGGGTTTGTTGGAGGTGACAAAGGAAAATGAGGGGACTCGCTATGACGAATTGCACAATCCACCTACCAACTCGTGCAGATTTTGCTGATCCACAGTATGTCGGATGTTCTCTACCCAGCGGTAAAGATGGTTTCCTGCAACATGCACCACCCCATCATCAACCAGGAGCTTGTTGATCCGGAGTCAACGTCACCTGGACCCTTTTGAAGGAGAAGAAGGGGGCTTCCTCAGAAGGTAAACATCAGCAAAGGCTGAATCCTGGACATTGCAGGCATATGGCCTCAGGTTTTTGTTATCTGAGTTGCATGTCACATGGCTTCGTCGCCTGGACGACGGAACTGAGACGGGATTGTGCGGGGGTGACTTGGACCCCATTTTAGTGCATCTTTGGCGAGGGGGAACATGAACACTACAATGTAACTACAAGTTGGAGGATAACTTTGTGTTTTTACACGCGCACACACACACACTCACCAAAAACTGGAGAGAGGGAGGGAGAGAGAGAGAGAGAGAGAGAGCGAGAGAGAGATGTTGAAGTACACGCTTCAGGTACAGTGCATGTATGTGGTCACATGGACTTGGCTGTACATGCTGTCTTGACCACATCAAAGTCTTGAGCCCATACAGAATGCATCCCTCTTAAAACACAGGGTACAGTTGCCGCCATTTACACTGCTTTGAGCTTGCGTCACATCGCACAGTTACACTTTTACATGGTAGCAGGTACACGATCCACACACTACCCAGGGTAAGCTCCAACACGCACTCACAGGTTTAAGTGCACAGCATTGAGCAACACGGTATGGCACAAGAGTCCACAGCACAAGTAGCAGTCACACAAGTGCACGGATGCAAGTTACCACCACCACGGTTCAATGACACATATGAGGCTTTCGAGGAGTGGAAGTACAAGCTGGCAGCATACCATTGGTCACAAGACCAAGCGTGCCCACAACTCTCAGAAGCCGCAGCAACACACGCGCCGGACAACGATGACCTTGAAACACAGCACCAGACACAGCCGCTGCAGAACACTGGAAGCAACTTGGCAGCAATCTCAACTACATCCTCGTCAACACATGCGACGACACTGCAGCAACAATCTGCAGACAACATGCAACGAGCGCTGGATACGAAACCTGGAACCAACTCCACATCCGGTTCTCGATGCCAATAGGTACATGAAGTATCGGGCGCCTTACAAAGCTTTCAAGCCACAATTCGACGAACAGAAGTTTGAAGAAAGCTACACCGCATGAGAGTTTGAGGCCACAAGGTACGAAAGGGGCAACGACGCAACACTACCGGACAATGTCAAAATCGCCATACTGCTCAACGAAACAAAAGGACCACTGCAGCAACACCTACAGCTACAAGCAGGATCAATCACAACTTACGCACAGATCAGGTCACGGATCTTGGAATACCACAGAGCATCAACAGCATTTGCATCACTACACGCAATGACACATGCCCCAGCAAGCAGCGGACAAGCACCGATGGACATCGGGGGCACATGGCGCAAAGGCGGCAAGAACAAAGGGAAAGGGAAAGGAATGCACAAAGGCAAACGCAACAAAGGAAAGGGCTACAGCGGCTACGGCAACAAGGGCAGCAACACCAACTTCGACACAGGTTACAACAAAGGCAAGGGACAGCAGGGTCCCATCGGACAAAAGGACCCACGCAGAGGAGGAAAGGGATTCCCACAATTCCACAAAGGAAAATACGGCAAAGGAAAGCACAACGGAAAGGGATGCAACAATGGAGCAAAAAGGACAAACACCAATGCACATCTGCTACAGATGTGGACAACAGGGACACTTCGCCAAGAACTGCCAGGTTCCGGTCTGCAACTTGGACACGGATACACAGACCCCTCGTTCCAGTGGTACAACACACAGGACACATACGACAACACGTGGTACAACCGGGGTCAGACAGCATCCACCACACCAGCGCAACTGGCGCCACTGGATGGGACACAATTGGCGGTGAGAAGTTGAAGAGCTGCCAAGCTGCGTGCATTCTTGGGCAAGGGAAATTGGGCGGAAACCGGCCTTTTTGCGGATCCCTATTTTGAAGCGCGTAAAATATTTCAAGCATCGCCTTTGTTGCGCTTGCCAAATGGTGTTTTTTTTGACGTGGCAATATTGGGGTGAGGTCCTCAAGGGATAGCTCTGCGAGCGTGAAGGACGACGGCGGGTGGACGATGATGAGATGCTGCCGACGGGGCGTCCCACTGGTTGACCTTCTTGCCGCCCGCAGGGTGTGCAATCGTTGTTCTCCTGACCAGACAGTCCGGGACTTCATACCTCGAAGATCTCTGATATTGGGTAGATCTAAGCACCACAAAAAAGGTAGAGGGTGAGCTGACACAACGACAAAACCCCTCCACATTTGGGGCAGCCTCCTGTCTGGCTTCACCCCCCCTTCTCGGGGTTTATACGCCTTGTCGGCGGTATTTCTGCATGACTACGGGCATGGCATTCTACATTGCGTGGGCGACAGCCAATTCCGTTATTCGATTGAAGGCTGAACCTGGCAATTTGTGACGCAAAACGGAATCTTAACTTGATTAATTCATATTCAAAGACTTCTGAACAGCGAGGCGCTGACCTCATTCATGCAGCTGGAAGAATTGCGCTTTCGAACCTGATTTTCAGAGATTTGCAGGGGGTCCCAGCAATTTTGCTACAGGACCTACATCTTGCAACACCGTTTGGTCTTGAGTGGACGCCCTGATCAACCGGCTCCACACACATCAGCTTTCACTGCGCAACCCAAGAAGCGCATCAGGGGCCACAGATCTTGGCACAGACACGTGGATATCACATGCTGCACAACCTTCGTGACGAATCCAAGCGCACCAGGGCACAATTGTCTGTACAGATGTCCACCACATGAGAGAACTGACACATAGCTTGGCGACACTTTTGTCACTCGAATCGTTAGGAGCGACATTCGCTGTACACATTACCGTGTACACCAAGCAGGCATGTTGAAACACATGCTTCAGGTACGGTGCTCTGTCTCTCTCTCTCTCTCTGTCTCTCTCTCTCTCTCTGTCTCTGTCTCTGTCTCTGTCTCTCTCTCTCTCTCTCTCTCTCTCTTCTCTCTCTCCCTCCCCCTCTCTTGTAGAAGTGGAACTGTGCGACGTGACGCAAGCTCAAACCTGTGCAGTGTGATGGCTGCAGCTGTAGACTCTGTGTTTTACCAGGGATGCATTCTGTATAGGCTCAAGGCTTTGATGTGGTCAAGACAGCATGTATATACAGCCAAGTCCATGTGACTACATGAGAGAGAGAAAGAGAGAAAGAGAGAAAGAGAGAAAGAGAGAAAGAGAGAAAGAGAGAAGAAGAGCGAGAGAGAGAGAGAGAACCTTTCACGAGTGTGCCAGGACTACGACAGTCTGAGCCTCCCACACCCCCAGATTGCGGTCTAGGAGAGCAACTGAGCAACCATGAATCCACGGGCCAATTTGACAGCTTCAGTTCATTCTCAAAATGTCCCTGCAAAACTCAGATTGTCTTTTGAACTCCATCCAAAAGGCCCCCGCATGGCTCCATTCAAGTGATGCCCAATGGTGGTGAGCATGCACTCCACCATCACTTCAGAACCCCAATGCTTTTGGCCCGAATGACCCCAGAATCATATTGTGTTGTTGCTTTTGAGGGTACCCCTGTTCGGTGGCTCAAATGAAAATGGAGGGGGGAAGTCACACACTGTTGTGGGGTGGGTGGCGTGGGGGGGGGGGTGTCCTTTGGAAACAAACTGTTTCCAAACATGGGAACCCTCAAGTTGACGTTTCTTTTTGGTGTCCCGCTCAAGCTGTGGGAAAGCGATTGCCCTCAAAAACGGCAAGCCGACTTCCCGGCCGCGCCCTGATCTTCCCATCCAAGGAGCGGGCGAGAGCACGCGAATCTTCGCGACCGAGAAAAATGGGCGGAGGGTGGGCGGTAACTCTGTGCTTTCACTTTCGATTGTGGGTCACTAGGTGGAAATATCATGTGAATGTTGGAAGCACCCTGAAGCACCTGCAAAAGAATTGTTGGAGAGTAACCCAGTGCTTCTTCCCCTTATCATATTGGGTAACAGGTTGGACTATGTGAATGGTAGAACTTGACCTAAATGATCCGGCTGCTCTTTCTGATTTCGCTTAACATGTTACCTGAGGAGTCCCTAGAGGAAATAGATCTTGCAAGTACCCAGGTGCTACGTTGATGTGAGGAAGGGTACCATTCTAGTGGATAACCAATTGGAAAATCCTTTTAATGGGAAAGACCTGGTGACAAGAGTATGCCACCAAATATGTATATTCAGTTCGAAATCAGACGCGCAGGACACTTATCCCTGGTCGCACTGTTGAAACCTTTGCATCATTTGAAATCTCAAGGGAATAGCTGGGAACCTGTGGCCATATCCCAGACAGGAATGGTCATGGAAAATACTCTCAAATATAGACTGCAAAAAAGCATGGTGTAGCCTGCAAAAGTCTTTCCTGCGCGGTATGTGAGCCAGCGGATCAACCCAATCTCTCTTTGGTTTGCAATCCTTGGGCCAAAGCTTGTGTCTTCCCTGATTCTGGGATACTGTTTTTTGCAGCTCCGAAGAGCTCCTTCCCGGTCCCAGGCGGAAAAGCTGCGGCTGCTGCGCCAGGACTAGCCCTCGGGTCTCCGATCCAAATGCGTGCCATGGGATTGGTCGGCAAAGAAAAGGTTTCCCCCACTAAGTGAAGGGGTTTTAAATCTTCAAAGATCCAGGAAAGTGGGTGGTTTGTCTTTGATTGGAGTTGGCACCCCCCTTTTCGGGGTTTGAAGGGAAACCACAAGGAAAACCGCATATTATTATTATTATTTATTATTTTTTTTATTTTTTTTTTGGGGGGGCAAAAAATGATACACCCAAATAGCAACTAAGAATTGCAGGCATTCTTCATAGCCCACTCACTGGACAAATTCGATCTGCATTTGTATTAGTCACGGCCCCTCGGAAAGAAGGGGGATGCTACCACTGCCTTCGCCGCGAGGAGACCATATTTGAATGACATGATTCCATAAGGGTGACCCCACGAACAAGGCTGCCAACATGTGATTCGAGCGCTGCCCAATACTGGGGTTAGGGGTTCATTCTAATCCCAAGATCTTCTTTCCGGAAAGCCATCCAGACACCAGGAGAAGCAAAGGTTTGTTGAGAAGATGTTGAACATAATGGTTGGTGTCCACCCCGATGGAAAAAAGGTGTGGCAGAACAAAGGTCCCAAAGACCTGCCGGAGAACCTGACGATGGTCTCTAGAATTGGGTGTGTCTCCTTACCTTTTCGGGTGGTCGGGGGAAGGTTCGATGTATATTTAGTGTTAATTTATTCAGATTGCTATCTAACAGCCTCCAAAGTCTCACTGGGAAACAGGTCCCGCTCAGTGTTCCGGCATGATTCTTGATATGAAATTTGCAAGTGGTTGGTAGACATGAATGGACGCCTACGTGATGTCCACCGAAGGGTTCCCCAACAATGGTACGCTCCAAAAGGACACTCATGGTATTCTCTTGGGAAGCCCGCTTGCTTTGGTGTTAGGGAAACTAAACCATGCAAAGCAACCAGCAAGTGTGCCCAACTTGACTCATTAAGTTCGTTGTGCTTTTTTTGAGGGACACCATGCCACGGAAGCGTTCGACCCGCCTCCCAAACTGACAGGACCGCAACCGCGCAGTGCGGGAGGTCGACAAAGTCCGGCAGGAGGCACGTGGAGGACTCACTTTTCTTTAGACTGCCAAGCAAGATGGGCACGGATCACCCCTCCAAATAGCGGAAGCCGCCCTTAGGCCACCCGCAAAGCAGCAAAAACATATTATATGGGTAGTCGATTCCCTTGAAGGTACTCCAAAGATGTCCCAAAAAGGTTGGCACAGACGATTCTGGTTTTGCAAGTTGAAGTACACGGAGGAAGCATTGTGAGTTGGAAGAGTCACCCCAGCGCGTGATTGAGTTCTACAACTGCTCCTACCACTCCCCAGTTTGGGGGCAGTGCTGTGTTTCGGAAATCCCCTTAGCAGAGTGATTTCGACACCCATTTCGGCGAAGTTCAAGGTACGAAACACCTTAAAACGGGAACCCCTTGTGTAGGCGGGCCAACAAGAAGCCACCCAAAACAAACGGGGACGCACTGAGAAAAGGCTGGGACCCCTCCTGAAAGTGTCTCATTTGGGTGTGCCTTTTTCGAGGGTATTCGTTTTGGATGTGTTTAGGGGGGAAAAACAAAGCAGCTCCTTTTGGGGGCTCCCCTAACTTCAGACAAACCTATTTGGAGCCAAATGCTCAAATGCTGGTTGGTTTCTGAAGGGGGCTGTTTGGGAACACAAGGCAAATGTCTCCAGAGGAACAACAAGGCTCCCATCTTTCCGTAAACAGCACCCGTTCAGAAACTCATCGAGTGGCCGAACAAGTGATGTTGAAGGCTCTGAGCAGGGACACTCAGAACACACCTTCACTGCAGGTCGGCACCCATCGACACCGCCTGGAAGGGACCCAGCCAAGAGCCAACCGCCAGGCGGAGATCGATCCATCCAAGTCCCGTTTGGCCGGTTTTCTTGGGGGGACCCCTGAAAAACTGAGGTGTTCCTGTTGGTTTTCCTTTAAAAGCAAACAAAGGGGTGTCCTACAAAAAGACGCACGCATTGGGCACTTTAGATTCTAGTAGACGCTGCCAATGTTGACCCCTCAAAAAAACAAGTATTTAGTCCCTTTTAGTGGGGGTTCCTCCCCGCGGAAACCCCTATCCCCCTACCCAAATGAACCGAACAGCTCATGGGTGAAACGGGCACTCACTGTTAGGAACCCGAACTCGGTTTTGTGCTTTGGTTCAACTTAGCCCAAAACAGGCGCTCTCCCCAAGAAAAGACAAGTCAAACCCATCAAAGGGCTCTGAACGTTGACGATTGTACTAAAATATGCTTGCTTCTTTGGAGGGATCCAGGATTGAGCCCAAATCCTCTCAATCTCCCGTGTGAGGGCTGTTTTGGCTTCCCGCCCAAAGGATATGGCTGGGGGGATGTCAGGGGTTGCTTTCTCACCCGGCACCCAAGGTTTGTCACAGGGGAAAATAGCCGTCAGGTTGCTTTTGTTTGATGGGTGGACCAAATCCTGCATCACTTAGGATAGATGGAAAATTGGGAGATGGAACCCTATAAATGATTGGATAAACCACCTACCAACTGGTGCAGGGTTTGAGGTTAACATTTGAAACATGATCTCGCTTGCAAAGCCGACCTTTTAACCGATTGGTTTCCTTGAACTGGTCTATATTCTGTCAAGGTGTTCAGAGGTTTACCTTTTATTTTCACGGCCTGTGGGCAAGTGAGCAATCTGAAAATCAGATCTTCTGTGCACCCTAGATGTTGAGCTTGCCCTGAGCTTCTGGAGATTGGAACCTCCAAGCACCACCGAGGGAAGCTGAATGTGGGCCATAAGAGTGGCCAAAAAAGTCCATACCTTTCCGTGGCGACTCCAAGTTCCAAATTTCCCCCTGGTCCCCAAATCCTTGGTCTTTTTGTAGTGGCTTGATTTTGTTTTTGAAGCAAGAAGTACTGTGTTCAGGGTTGGTTTAGAGACACAAAAAGGAAGACAGTTGCCTTCTGCCGGGTGTCCAAAACTGTGTGACGAGCCTAGTCCCCAAACAACCATGAGTAACTTTCCTTCATGTAGAGGGGGAGTCATCTTTGCTGGTGCCCTATGGGTCATCCCAGGAGGACCTTGTGATCAACCCCCCTATCCCGTAGCTCCATGGCTGGCTTGCGCCCGCTTGGCACCCAGGCGGTCTCTGCGGTGCTGCGCTGGGCAGAGGACTCTTGAGGGATGGTCGTCACTCACTCCCTGGTTTGGACTTTCGTCACTTTGTGGATCATTTCAGTGTACAAGTCCGGACTTTTTCTGGCCAATCCACTCAGGAAAGAGGATTCCTAGAAAAGGCCTGGCCATGGAGTTTTGAACACTTTCAGGTTTGTCCCGTAGGATACGGACCTCCCCCCTCCAACAAAAACGATGTTGCTTTGTGGTGTCCCTTTGGTTTCCTTTAAAGACAACAACTGCAAAAGCACATCCCCTCCCCTTATGATGTGATCTTCTCTTATCCAGTGATGGACGCCCATCCACTCCTATCTCAGCCCTGTGCTACTTAGCTCGGTGTGTCAACAGCACCATCGAGAATATACCAGTTTCACTCCCTCAGTTCCTGGACTTGAGTCACTTTTTGGAAGACCATTCAAGTGTTAAACAGCAAGTTCTTTTTTTGTGGCCACTGCACGAAAGTAAGAATTTGAAAATCAGCTTTCTTGTAGTGGGTCAATGTTTAGGGAAGGTAGGATGCCTCCAATGTTATGCTCAAAGCACCTCTTGACATGTGTAGTACTTTTTTTGAGGGTACCCTTGATTGTCTCCACTCGTCAGACTGGTATCAAAGAGGGGGATGCAGGCGGATGCTTGACCTGGCACGGGACTGACCTCAAAACGGGCATCAGGAATGCAAAGGGCCACCCTAACCAACTTCTACATGCTGGGATATCATCCAGGTTCATGCAACAAGCCCTTTGCGGGGGGGGGGGGGGTCCTGAAACTGGAGACGGGGCTGCAAAGTATTGCTTCATGTTGGTTTCTCTGAATTTTCCCTTGGCAACCCACGGTTTCTGATGATATCCTTGTGGTTCCCTTGAACACCCATGACGTCCTATGTGCTTCGAATGAGGGCCTTGAATCATGATTCGAATGGACATATCTGTCGATTTGACTGGGCACCATGCAATTGGAATCAATAGTCTCTTCCCCCAGTGGGAGCCAGCAGGATTGTTGGAGGAAGGGTATGTTCAGGACTGTGCTTAGAGTTCTCTTTAAGCTGTTGACAAGCTCGTGCCCTTTTGTTTTTTGGCACGCGAAGCAGTCGGTGGACAAAAAGCGCCTAGAAGTATGCACAAACACTGTAAACCACAAGGAGGGCAAAACGATGACACACAGGCACCAGATGAGCCTTTGAGGGATGCAAATGTCAAAAACAACATGGTCGGCCTGACCGATAGCAACACCGACCAATTCATATCCACCTGAGAACCTTGCCAGCAAGCCTCTGGCCCACTGACAAGTCTTTCTAGTGGGAAACATTTCAAACCACACGTTGCCTTTGTTCTTGCGCGCAAGATTGCCGCAGCCGATTTCCCGTCAGGGCTTCAAGGCGAATCCCGAGCGGGTTACGAAAGGATTTGGCAACTGGGCATAAGCTACGACCTCTAGGCCATGCCTCTCCCCCAGGTTTCTTGTGATTGAGCCCTTGTCTCTTTTTCGTAGAGAAAGCAAAACACCTTTTTGTGGGGCCAAATCACAACCTAGATTGGCTTTATTGTATGAGCGATGCCTAACTGAGTGGCAATTCTGCTCAGATCGTGGAATTTGCGTGGCTTGATGAAGTATGCTGAAATGATTTCACCGGGGCTACTGTTCTCTATGGGGCAGAAACTACCTGCCCTACTCACCACTGCAAGAGTGACTTTGAACATGGTCAACGTGACAGCGGCAAGTTTCTTGATATCTTGCATGATATTTTTTGAACTATCTTGGCATTGGTGATCGATGTTAGCCTAGGATGCAACAGCTTGCTGCCAGGAGCAAGGCTTTCATGATCGCATCAGGGGCACCCTCTTGTCCCACCTCGAGGCAGGGTCGAGTGGGGTTCGAGAGTTCGAGACAAACCTAAGCCCATACTGCTTCACTTCTCCCGAGAGCGAACCAAAAGTGGATGGGTATTTGTATTCTTTTTCAGGAACCCTATTTGATTGGCACCCCCAGAAGCTTGATTCGCTTTTTCACTGTGCAGGAGATGCACTCACGCTTATATTCACTCATGGACAGCAATTCTACATGAGTTTCCTCCGGGTTCGGGGATTGGGTGATGCTTATCAACGAAATCTAGGGAGTCGTATTGGAAGGGGTTCTCATATGGTGCTTATGGTTGGCATTTGAAAGCGACCGTTTCAGCCACGTGCGACTTACCCACCTCCATGTTGGTTTAGGGGTTGAAACTTGCCACCAAGTCCGCAACCTTTGGGTTGTTTTGACGTTTTCAGTTTCTTCTTTCTATTTGGAACACCTTTGGGACATTCTACCACCACGGGTGTTTTGCAACCTAACCCTTCACATTACATCAGGTACCCTCTTAGTTGGTGGTTTGGATTGGTTTGGGGATTGAAACATCTGGCTTTGTAGAGGCCACCCCGGAACACCTCCACCAATCCAAACTACCAATTAGGAGGAAGCTGAATGAATGAATGAATGAATGAATGAATGCGCCGGACACCGAGACAGGTGGCTCCTACCTTCCGCGCTGCTGTGGAGAGCTTCGCAGGCAACGCCCTCTTCAACATCTTGGCGACTCGGCGAGTCTCGAGTCGCCAAAGGGATATCCCTCGTTGGAGCCAAAAAACTTGGGACAAAATACCAAATGTGTGGTTCATGGACCATCCCTATCTCATTTGATGCTTCAAGGTCCTTCTTCTTCTTTTTTCTTTTTGTGGGGAGGGGAGCATGGGCCCTGGGCCATTCCTCAGATCTGGTTGATATTTTGAAGGTTCACCGAGCCAATCCAAATGTTCACTAATTCGGCGGGGAGATGGTAGAACCTCAAAATGGTTGCAGACCTATGTTAACTTGAGTTGATGGATTCGGTTGTCAGAATCTGAAGATATGACATTGTGTGCAGCTGAGTTCAGGAAACTGGGGTTGGCTTTCCATGAGAAATGCTTCTGTTTGCGTTGTATCGTGACTTCCATTTGAAGCTGAGGTTACCCCTCCATGAAAGCAAAGCCTCCTGGTTGCTGTGTATCGCTGTATCACGGTTTGATATAGTTTGTGATTGTGAACTGGCTTTTCTATGAACTAGGCTTAGCTTTCTGAAAACAAGCTAGGGATACATGGCGTTGGGCGCGGATCCAAGGTGCACTTGGCACTCCTTGAAGTAAGTGCTCATGTGGGTGTGTCACCCTTTTTGCTTGTAGTGTTAATGGGACACCATTGTTAGTGTTGCTTCAAGCGGACGAATCCGCAATCCGCACAAGGCTCCCAACAGGACACTATTGAGCTCCGCCCAAGACCTTTCAAATGGGCCGTTTGGGTAGGTGGTTCTACTACCTTGGTTTCACAAAGGCTATCAGGCCTGTCCATACCTTTGTAACCATCTTGGTAGAACCAACATTCAACGGATTTTTGGCGACGCTCAATTGACCAAGCCTTTCAGAATCATGCTTCTCCAACACGGAAGAGCGTCGGGGCCTTTGGAAGACAGTCATCTTGAAAAGCCCCCCAAATGTCCACATGCATTGCAAAGAGGGCGATTAAAGTCCGAGCAAATCGACTCAGCGGTGATAGCCCCGCCGATCGGCACCAGTGGAAATGGACGAAGCTTGATTTGAATACTCGCTGATAAGCCACCTGGCACAAAATGGATTTTGTCCGTCCACCGAATGGGGGTGTCTTTTTTTGAGGGTACCCTGGTTTTAAAAGCTCCCCCTACAAAAGACACTCGTATTGGGGGAAAAGGGGGGCTACCTCGATCGGCCTTTGTCCGGCTCGCTCAGGCCATGGATGACGACGCTGCAGCGCAGGCGGTGAAGCACGTGAGGCACGGGAAGCTCCAGGTACACATCCCTTTCCTCGCCAAGGAACTCTCGCATGCACTTTGACCCTACCCGAGTACCCAATGAAATAGCATAGCTCAGCCGAACACCAGAAATCCAATGTCGTTGGGTAAGGTGAAGCTGGAACTCCGTTAGCCGCTAGTGTTGACCCCGGATGAATAAACCATTGTTTTTTTCACATCCTCTCTTCTTTCTGTGGCTGGATGGTGAATGCAATGCACTTGACAGCACCGGCGAACACCGCCGAAGCCGTCATAGCAGCCCTGAATGTCGCAAGTTGAGCATATGGGGCAGCTCATGCAAGCATGCTGGGAGTGTAATTTGTGCTTCTTCATATTGCTACATGGTTCGACCAGGTCATGTTTTAGAGATTCTCCTGTGCGAAAGTCTGTTTTTTTGCGGGGGTTCGATTCTGGCCAAGACCTTTATCTTGCACGTTTTGTGTTGTTCTTCCATTGGGCTCAGCTGGCTAGGAACTTTAACTTACTTGGAAACGCCCTCAACAATGGTTGCATAACTCGAACCTCCTACAAACGAATATGGAATTCACAAAGGCTGGCTCCACAAAAAAGACTCGGTTTTGACGGGGGTCCATGTAAACCCGGGAGAAAGTCAGTTCTTCGAGCGTGAGGACACGGCGCTTGGGCGCCGTGGTGGTGACACCCCTGAGCCCTGGTCTCAGGCCGACACGGAGCCTGTAAAGATCTAGGGGGTAGACAGAATGTAGGTAATTGGGAATTCTGGGGAAAAAACAAGAAAAGACAAACCGGTTGATTCTCATGGGGTGCCTGCCTGGTTTAGTGTCACACAGGGTCAGTACAAACAGAAGCCTTGTGGGAGCTCCTATAGAAGATCTCCTGTGAAAAGAGCTTCCACGCACGAGCTCTCTTCGAAAAAATGCTCATGTTTCTTGGCCCTGGACAAGATCTCTGTTCGATTAATTTTTGCAGGATCTGTGGTTAGGGTCTATTGATAGGATCTCTTGGCAAGATCTGAGTGCAGGATCTCTGATAGAACCCCCTATAAGTCCTCACTTCAGAATCTGTAGAGAGCATCCTCTGCAAGATTTCTCGACATAAAAACTTTACAGGTCGTACGCAAGATTGTTGAGAGGATCTCTTTGACGGCAATTATGCCGGCAACAGTGACAGCAGCTGGGAACTGGGCAGATCCGTGGGTAGCACGTGACGAGACGAGCGCTGACGAGACGGAAGGTGAGAAGAGGCTTGTCTTGGACGAGAGGCTGCCGCGTTGGCAGCAGATTCGAAAGAGGACATTGGCTCTGCTGCGGCCGGGGTGAGAGCTGCCCGTGGGCGCTACTGAGAGCTCAAGGGCAAGGGCATCCACCCGGAATTCGGTGCTGGTTGCTGCTGACTGGGACTGGGGCACTGGCACGTGCGCACGAGAGCTGCCCAGGCCGGTAGCAAGGTTCGGGCAGCAGGGGGCTGTTTCGGAAAGTTCAAGGGGGAGGGGCAAGTCGAAGGCGTATTGCGCGACCCCCCTACAGCACGTTTGTCCATAGAGCACCCTCTGCAAACCTCTTCGTTTCTAGTTTTTGTCGGATTTTTGCGCAGATCTGTTGAACGGATCTGTTGGCAAGACCTGTGCGTAGGATCTCTGCACAGGCTCCTATTAGGATCTCTTTGCACGCAGAACCCTTGAGAGGATGTGGGCGTGACGTATTGAGAGGATCTTATCTACGAAGGACGAGAACTAAGCATCCCGGAAGGAGCTTCACACGATCTTTGCATTGCAGGCTGCAAGATCTTTTGGTAAGGTGTACGGCTTTTCAAGCGCGAGGGTGTTTACAAAATTTATGCGCAAGATCTCTTGATAGAATCTCTTGGCGGGATTAGTTCGCATGATCTCTTGCACGAGAATCTCTACAGGTCCTGTGATTCGATGTTCGTAACTTTACTGCCAATCCGACGTCTGCAGAGGGTTCAAAATTTGCACCACGCCAGCGACACGACCCGCTCGAAGTTCATACAGGATGCACTTTCGATGTTCAAAATTGGCTGCGTGCGGCAGCGACAGCGATTCAGAGCACCCAAAGTCCGCAGAGGGTCCATTTTCGATGGAAACCCGCACCGCGTCGCAGCCAGAGCAATCCGACCCGCCCAAAGTCCGCAGACAGCGCAGCAGCTCACCATTTCCGGAATGCACGCGGCACCACGAGGAGAGCGCGCAAGATACCAGATTTGCACACGCACTTCGCGCGAGCCTGCGCAGTCGAAATGCGCATGAGCATCTCACAATACCCTTCTGTGCGAGCATACGCAGACGAAACGCGCTGCGTAGACACACTGTTTGGGGAGAAATCAGCTCTTGCAAAAAATCTTTAGAGCCTCCGGCTCAGTCCGCCTGTCTCTTTCTCTGTCACTTTCTCTGACTCTGGCTCTGTCTCTGTCTCTCTTTCTCGCTCTGTGTGTCTCTCTCTCGCTCTCTCTCTCTCTCTCTCTCCCGCTCTCTCCCGCTCTCTCCCTGTCTCTCTCTCTCTCTCTTTCTTTCTTTCTTTCTTTCTTTCTTTCTTTCTTTCTTTCTTTCTTTCTTTCTCTCTCTCTCTGCGTTGCAGCGCCCTGAGTTGCCTCGATATCCGGGCACTGCCCCTTCATGACCCTGAACAGTCATCTCACTGCTGGCTTTCTCCTTGATTTCCCCTTCATGTCCTTTTCACGTTTCCCATGCTGTCCTGGTCATGTCCCTTGCATTCCTTTCAACTCCCCCTTCATGTCTCTGACATTTTCTCGGTATGTCCGCGTCATTTTCCATGTCTGTCCCGTTCTTTCGTGGCGAGTCATTTCCCTACATCTCCCGTCGTGCCCATTGTGCTTTGTTTCCATTTCTGGTCCTGTCATGTCCCTTTCAGTTCCCCTTTGTTTCTCTTTCATTTCCCGTTGCTTTCCTGACATGTCAACTTCCTATTTCCTCCCCTCATTTCCTTGGACTTCCTTATATTTCCCCTTTGCTCCCCAGTATTTCCCGCAAAAACAGCGTTTTTCCAGCGTTTTCGCAAAGAGGACGTCCAAAAACACAGAGTTTCTCCAGATTTTCGGCAAAAGGAAGCAGGAAACCCAAACCAGCAAAAAGCCGGCAGGATAATCGAGCCTGGGCCCCCTGTTTTGCGACAGCGGCTCCCCGAAGACTACGTTTAGTGGAACGTCATCAATCACCGCGCGGCACGTGGGGGAACCCCCCCCCCCTGTACCCCACGTATCAGACGTCGGGCGGGGGGGGGGGTTAGGGGATACGCCGAGCAATGTTGGCGGACAAGCCCATATAAAGGAAGGGGCCCGGCCCCCCAATACCATCCACTTTGATTAGTCTTACCTGGAATCCTTGCGCCGGCACGAGGTCAGTTGCCGCTGAAAGAGCATCAGCTTCCAGCCATGGAGGGCGCGCGGGGCCCAGACTCAAAAATATACATCTGCCGCGGATGGCGCTAAAACTTATCACTTGCAAATCAAGGAACATTATCATAACAGAAGGTCCCAAGCCTCTGGACTAAGCTGATCGGGAATGTAGGAATCTGGCAAGTGGTACGCAGCAAGTCCAGCCTTCTTCTGACCATTCCGCTCAGAAAGTGTCAGGAGTTGGCAGTTTTGAGGGTGAAGTTGTCAGAGTTCCTGCTCGGGTCTGCTGTGTCAGGAAGCTGTGTTCAAACCAGGGTGCTCGGTGCTAGACCACCTTGTTGGAAACATGCATGGCCCTCCTGAATGTGTAGATCTCCTCTCCACAGCATTCCAAACTTCGCACGTCTCAAAAGGACCACTCAAAGTTTGCAAGTGCCAACACTGGGCAACTATATGACCCGCGCATCTGTCCTTCATACTCACTCAATCCAGTTGCAGCTTGGATGTTAGTTTAGGGTGGGTTGTCAGCATCTGGTTTGATATGGTGGGCGTTTCTGACATCCAGAGGGAGCCCTCCAGGTTTCCTTTTAAAACGTCAAGGGGGTTTAACAAGGGTCTCCTCCACAATGCTTTTGTCGGCAGGCTAAATGGTGAGTTGGCTTGAGGGCGCCTTTTGGTAAGAGAAGCCTAATCGAAATCCAACCTTGGCTTTCTAGTTCCAATTGGAGTCCCTAAGGCGGCGGTGGTCCAAGCTGGGGGGTTCCAGGGCTTGGCGATATTTTCCGTCTTTTCGATTTCCCCACCAGCATTTTATCTCCCACCGCCCCTAAACTTTGCTGGTCCTCAGGAAATGAGTTGGAATGAACCCCGAAAAACCACCCATTGGATTTGGTTTCCTTTATTCGGGAATGTTCAACACCGGTTCATTCCCTCCCAACACTTGGAAATCCTATTCAGCACCCAGCAAAATGTATCGCTTGTGGGGGCGTGCGTCCCTAAGGCCCCCCAATCAACCCGAAGGACTTTGGACATGTAAGAAAATCTGAGGGTTCTCAACTACCCACCCTCCTTGTACCTACCCCGCTTAAGGATCCATAAGAATATGAAGCATCACCTGAAAACCTGTGTTTCTGTGTACCCCATAGCCCCATGAACCAAGAACTCCAAAAGTATCAATCAAAGGAACGTAGCATATCCAAACTTATGTCAAAGGGTTAAGCGACATGTGGCAATGCATTTCAATGGCCAGCAACCTGGAACATGTGAGTGGACAAAATTCCGCATCTGCGGCATGTCCACCAAAGGTCCAACCAAGTAAGTTCCATGTTTTGATACTCTTGTGCTGCTCTTTCTCGTGAAATAAATCTTCATCGTCCACATTCTTTCTCAGATACATGAAAACATGTTGATCAGATGCCATGCAAATTGTGGTTCATGTTGTCATTGCCTCAACGTCCGCTGGAGTGAGATTGCCAGGAGCGAGATTGGCACGGTCTTTCAGATAGTAATTGATAGCAATGTCTGGGAAGTTGGCTCCCAGACCTGGAAATCCATGCCGATTGGCACATGTTGGGAGCCGTGGTTTTTGAATGCAAATTGGGTGTTCCCAATTGGTGCGTTTTTCGGATTTTCTCCAGCCACTGTATGTGGGCTTGTCTGTTTTAAGAGTGCTTTTTGTTTTGTGAAAACTGGGTACCAACGAGCCACCTATGTTGGCTTTTCATTCAAGAAGAGCGGGATATTTCAGGTCTTTCAGGGTTTTTGGGCTTGGCGAAAGCGGAACCTGTAAGAGGGCGGGCAAAAAACTGTTGTGAGCCGCGGCAATGGCAACACCTCGGATGAAGGCGGACTTCAATTCAGGGGTTCCCCTTTTGGTAACCAAGTTATACCCATTAACAACGAGCACTTGAAGCGAGTGGGTGGACACTTCCAACACGGTGACCCTTCGATGCTGCGGGAAGAATCCTGAAGGTGTTAGATGGTTTATCCCACCATATAGGTTTTTATCCACGCCAGCTGGTCCTGCCCAACTTCGCAGGTCAAGGCCTTGGTGGACGTGGTCCGGTGCCCGTCCTGGGCACGGCCAGCAGTGCAACAGGTCTTCGGGAAGGCGACAAGCGCTTCGGGTTTGGCAAACGGGGGTCGTCTTGTTTTGGAGTGGGTTCCCCTTTTTTTGAAATGAAAAGGAAAGCCACCGTTTTGGGGGGTCGCCTAAGCAAGACACCCGTAGTATGGCTATGGAGTTCGATTAGGGGGAAGCAGTGGTTGGTAGACAATATAATGTCTACCGAAATTCGCAGCCATGTTTCCCCTGGGGTCAGTTTAAGCATCGCCTTGCTGCCCAAAAGTAAGTTTCCTCTTGGGGTGATGTTTCAAGGAGAAGTATAGGGATCCCTGTGTTTGTTTTTTAGGAACAACCTGTTTTTCGGTTGGTTCCGGAAGGAATCCAACATTTGTTTTGGGGGATTGTTTATTGTTGGTACTCATTTTCGGTTCTGGTTTTGAGGGTACCCTTTTTGAGGTTGGTTTTAAGGGAAACCAAAGGGACACCATTAATTTTGGAAGCTCCCCGTCTCCTGTTTCGACACAAATAGGGAATTTCCTGAAAGGGGGTGCGGGTTTCCTTATGCCCTTCCAACCAAGTTTAAGCGTATCCTCAAAGAGCAAACACCCACACACTCACCTTTTGCTTGCTTTTCTTGCCACAAACTAAACTAAACTTATCTGAAGATGAGCAAGGGAAAGTCCGCCCTTCGACTTTGTTTGGGGATATGACTTGAGTAATGCTAACCCCGGATTATCAACCGCAGTTGACTAATAGGGGTTTCCTGGGTGTGGGGAATCATTAGCTTGGGAGAGGAATAACAACAACACTAGGACTGGTTGACTGGTTGATTCATCTAGGCAACTCAAGGGGCTCCTTAGCACTCAATCACTGGGCAACTGCGGTTTTGGACCACTTGTGTCTCAACGCGATCAGTGGGGTCTTTTGGGTTCCCATTCGCCACAGTCCACTCGCCACACGTTTCCCGCAGAAGACATGGAAGATGCGAACTCAAATTGTGTCATAGAATGTCGGTTTGCCAGTTGGAAGCTGGCCAAAGACGCTTAGGTTTTCCGATCCAAGCGATGGCCGCAATACCAACATGGTTTTATGAGTTTGGCGTCGTTTCGATGCTCAAGAGCGGTCGTCTCTTTGGATGTTTGTCCCAGCAGCATGTTTGGGGTTGAAAGCCGAGCGGCGATTTCCTCTCCATGCATGTCCTTTACCACGACACCTGTAACATCAGCCAGCTGACAGCTGCAACAAGGCTTTTAGGCTGGCCCGGGGGCCACGAGCTAAGAACTATGAGTTATGTTTAATTGTGTTAGAAGCAGGCCTCCCCAAAAATGAGTTCGTGTGCAACTTGTTTGGTTCAGCCAGTCAGCCGCAACAGACCAGACTCTGAGGCCCACGCCAGTTTGATATGCTTGATTTTCAAAGCCTACAGCTGTTTGGATGTTGTTCAGCAGGGCATGGCCAAAAACCAGAAGCTTTTGAATTCAACAAGGGCCTCGGGTTGCAGCTTGATGCTCTAACATTTTGTTTGGTGTCGTGCTCTCTGGCAGCATCGTCCGGGGCCAGCTGGCACCAACGTCAGCAGGGAGGGGGTTACTTGTTTGTCACTTACGACCCATGTCTTACCGCCATTTCATTGAACTGCACAATAGTTTGGGACTTGCAAGCTTCTAGCCTTGGCTGTACTCACCAGAACGGAAAGCGGAAAACGGCACGCCACGGCCTTTGGAACCGCCCTAGAGAGTCAGAGAAAACGAGGCGTGCTCAGCGGGCTTTCGTACCAACCACTTGTTTCACTTCATTCGAAAGGCTTAGCTTACACTCCGGGCAATTATACAGACCTCACCTGTTGGGTTTCTGCGACCAAACTGCCTATGACGTCAGTTCCTTCACTCCAACATGTTTTCAAATATAGTCTGAGTTGAGAAGTGTGCCCTTTGGACGAGTCCGGATCCCACCATCGGCATTCTTCGGGCAACAAGCTGCCACGTGCGACTTCCATGGAACGTCAGGCAGTGGTGTGCCTGAACATGGAGCTGTGTGAAGAGGCCAGTGCCCGATTGTTCTCCTTGGAGGGGCGCCACTTGGGTTTGTGTTGTGTTTTTGAGTTGGTACCCTTTTCAGCTTGGGTTACAAGGAAACAAAGAAGAACACCACCACCACCTTTGTGGTCGTCCCATTTTGGCACGTACCCATTTCTCAACCAACGAAGACAAGGGTGGATTTGTTTTTTCGTGGCCACTGGAAATCTGGGATGGCCCCAAATCCACCTGGGACCTATATTCCACATGTTCATTTTAACGACGGTGATCCCCATGTCAATAAGGGTGCAAACTCCACATTTGCTAACGGGGGCCTCTCGGATCAGCCACAGAGCTGGAAGACATGCGCGGTCGGCATGGGTCGGGTCGGGCGCGGACGCTCTCGGGCAAGCCATGGGGTCCGGCCGTACGTGTACGAAAGACCAAAGGTGGGGTCCAGGAAAGCAAGCTACAAGAAGGCCCTCGTAATTTAGAGAGAAGGACGGAATTGGTTGACTCACTTCCCACTTGCCGAGTTCCGCTTCGGACTTTAGTCACTGTTTGGGCTTGGAGCATTTTTGCGGCAAACAGTTTGAACTTGAAATCCACTCAGGAAATGAGTTGGTCCCAGGTTGATGAACAGTGCGCTTGCAGAAGGATAGCAGCGATTTGTTTACATTTGCAGGCATGAAGACCCTTCTAAGTATGCACACAGGCATGAAGGACTATTTCGTTGGTACGATCCTGACGCCACAACTGTTTGTCACGCATTTAAGTTGTTTTTCAGCACCGCTCTTTAGGGCCGCTGTAAATTCTATGAGGGTGTGTCTTTTTTGAGGGTACCCCGTTTTGTTGTGGTTTTAAACGGAAAAGCCCAAGCCATTTGGAGAGTCCAACCTTAAAAAGCCAAACCTATGTTCATCTTAAGTGTAGACTTTGGTTCCCCTGAGCCGACAGGTTTCTGGATACCTGGTTCGGCGCGTTTGGCTTTCTCAGGTTTAGAAACATGAGGATTTGCAACGAATTTGAATAGGTATGTTCGCTTGTTTGAATGGCCATTTCAGAAATGGAGTCCCACGCATGTGTCACATGGGCAGAACAATATGTTTGATTTTGTTGCATTCCCGAAAGCGCAGCAGAAGGGATCTCGTAGAAAGGAGGCTGGGGTCCCTCGCATGTGTTCGCCGGCTTTTTCGCCACATTCCCCGAAAAAGTGAAAAAGGCAAGTAGCGCTTTTTCCCGGTTTTCAATAAGGTGGTGGTTTCCTTTCATAGGTGTCCTTTTCGGGTTGTCAGGAATAAATGGCGATTCCTTTTCGACCTGTTTCACAGGCTGCCATCTCTTTTCCCAACATCGGACATCCTTTGGTTTCTCTTCGATAGCTTTCGAGATTGGAGGTGGCGAAGAGGCACGGCATTGACGCCATCTCGCTGGATGGGGACCGGGTCAGCCGCAAGGCAGGGGTTGGCAGCTGTGGGCTTCAAGATGAGTTGATGTAATATGCCCTCTACCTTCCTTGTGGGGAAGCCCCAAAAAAGCCCACGCCCATGATTGTTGGAAAGAGGGTAAGGGGCTCAACAAATGCTAGTTGACACTTGCAATCATGACTAGCATGTAGATTGCAAGAACCCCCAAATTCAATTATCATTGTTTGAGGCCATAAAACAACATATGGACATATTATCTGTTTAGCCCAGATCCAAGATTTGGAAGTTTGGGTGGTTTAGCCGCCATGGCCGCCAAATACGCAGATTTGGGGACCCGTTGAATGGGTTACCGATGGCTCCCTCTCTGTCGCTACCTTCATGATTGTCCGAAAACTATCGGATCGCGTTTATCACCCGTTTGTTCAACGACTTATTTGCTCTCAGGGGTTCGCTTTCAAATTTTGGGGCCATGCCCCGAAGGGTCCCGGATACAATGGCCACTAGAGCCCATTGACCATGTTTAGAGAGGCCTAGAGGCCTGTGGAAAGGGAGCCAGCTCCAATGGGAGGGTGTTCACTCCAGAGATCCAATGCGAACGGACCGGATATGACGTCGTATTGGAAAAGTGATCTTAGGTCTTACGCATCCCAGTCAGCGGCACCCTTCTATCGCGTTGTGTGGTGGTCGACTTTTTGCTCAGCGGGCGAAGATCAACCCAGGTGTTTGGTGGGTTCTTCCCCAAAAAAGGCTCCAAACGGAAATTTCTCCCTCAGGGTCACCGGGCTGTGTAATCTCTCATTTGAGTACAAAGGGAAATGCATTGAGGCTTCCCTTTTGAAGCAAACCACAAGGGCCTGTGCGCACACCTATGGATGTTTTGTTCCGGTTTACGGGGAAACCTACAGGAAGCCACCACGCTTGTGGAAAACATTTTGAGTCCACTTCATGTGCCGTGGACATCCCTTCAAAGTGATACACACAATTCGTAGTGGAAACGGGAATCCCACTATATTGTATCACAGAGAGCCAAACAGCCACCACTTTGGGGTTCAATCCTTATTTGACGAGCCAGACCCATATCACACGAGATTCAAGTAGTCCATGTGTTTGTGGGGAGGGACATGGGGGGACGTAGTCTTTTTGTGTTTTCTTTGGGGGGGTCTACCCAGTTCGAGGGACACCACGAGGAAACCAAGGAAACTGCAATTTTGATGTGCCATACCCATAACGGTGTGTCTCTTTTTGAGGACACCCTCTTCTTTTGCGGTTTCAGAATGAAACCAAAAGGCGACACTTCCGCAGATTAACCTGGAATCCAAAAAGGCCGTCCCAAAACGAAGATTTCTTCGATGGCTTTTTGGGTTCCATGTTAATCTGCCGGGATGCAACGATGTTTTAGGGTTCTCCAACCCGCCTTCTCGACAGGGGGTGATCACCGGGGGCTTCCAAGACCCCCGGCGCTTTGTCCGCCTCGGCCTGGCGGAGGCAAGTCGCGTAAAGACTTCTGCATTTGGCATGGGTGGCTCGTCTTTGTTTGAGGGCACCTTTGTTGCTGCTGAGGGAAACCAAAAAGACATCTTCGAAAAATGGACACATCCATGTCTCCCATCCTGCAAAGAATGAGTACCACGCAATACCCGGGCCCCAGGGCTGTCAATTGTCCAAATAGCCAGGAGGTGGAACGAGTCTCGCCGTTGACCGCGAAGGTTTGGGCTAAATAGAGTAAAGTAGGCCTGATCTTCACAGCTCTTGGTGCATTTTTCATTTTTACTTTCTTAAAATTCTTACCCACCAGGAACTGCAAAGGAACCCTTTCCAAAAGGAAGGATTTCATGTTCCAGAAAGGGTTTTGCACCTCCATGTCTTGGCGGGAGGGTACTTCATTATTTGTTTGCTTTGTTCGTTTTTGTTGCGCGCGAAGAACCTTCACTTTGCCAGGGGTTGGGAGGATTACCTTCTTGACCTGAACACGGTTTTCGCTTTGGGCCAAGACGCGTTTGGTCTTGTCACTCAGGCCATCCGGGCTGCGGAGCAACGCTTGGAGAAGGAGTTCAATTGGAGTTCCGGTCCACGCGAAGTCGGGTGTCGAACCTCCAAACTACCAAAGAGGCTGATCTGCGGGTTCATTCAGTCTTGAGGATAAGAGTAAACTATTAGTATGTTCTAGCCCCTTATGTTACCCTTCTGGGTGCGAGTGATAGCGCATGAGCAACGCAAAATTTGCCGTCAACCGCAGTAAAGGGGATGACATGTGTCAAACTCGCCAAATTATCATAGGAAAAGGAGCACACTCGCCAAATTCCCCCTTTCGAGCTTTCTAGCCAATCCACAAGGCCGGCAAGTAAGCTGTTTTCCAAGACACGAATCACAGGGGGCTTCCTCTTGACCATGAGTCTCATGCCTTCACCAGACCAGGAACCCAAATGGAAACAAACTTGAAGTCCGGACAGCTGATGTTCGATCACACCAAAACGGGTCGAATCAAGTGAGTCCTGCCCAAACAAGTGTCCAATCATTTTGTTGTGGCCAGAAGGGCTTTGAACGACCATCCTCTCAAGGAAGCCTTTTGCCCACATCCATATTTGTTGGGCAAAGGGTACATATCCCAAACCATCTTTATTATGAGCAAGCATCAAACTCCTTGGATTGCTTGCGCTCGTCACCGAGTCCTCTGGCCTGGCTTTAGTTGCCTTTTTGGTGTTCTGCATTTTTTTTTTCGAGCACAAAATTAAGTTTGTGGTGGTCAGAATTTGGCCCAGGGTCAAGCTATTTTGGGAGGGACCGTATTGTTGGGTGATTCGGAACTACGACTTCTGTGTAGATGGATGAGTCACTGGCCTTCGAACCGGTCCACAGTTGCATAGATTGTTTTTGATGCCAAACGGATCTGATCTGGGATAGAAACGGAGGGTCCTGTACAGGCGTCGTCACCAAAAACACGTGTGTGTGTGTGTGTGTGCTGTTCAGAGGTGCTGCAACCTATACCCTTTGGGGGAAGGAGACACTGATTTTGAGACACCAAACATTTGTTCCGCTGGCAATATTCCATCTACAGTGGTTTATCACAGAAAGTCATGTTTTCTGGATGCGCAAAAATAAAGAACCAGTGACACCACTACGTGGAATTCCTGGAACAGTGTTTGCATGGACAAAGTCCTGGCGAGTTTTTGGCTTAAGGGTGACTCTTAAAGGACAGGAGTTAATCCGCCACTCACGAAAATCCTTGATTCATCTCTCTCATAGCCACAGGTTTCGTGGTTTTCAGGGTGCTCAAAGAACGGACACTCGGTTGAGAAGACTGTCTGGACTCATGGATCAATGACACATGGCGCCTTCTTAACACGTTGGCACATAGCCGCCTTTCTCAAATGGATTCCGGAGCCTTTTGGTTGTATAGTTGAGGGGAAAGCCAAAAGGAAGCAAACCATTGTGGGGGACCGATTCCTAATGAGAAACACCCAAGAGGCTCCATCTCGAAGACGTTCGAGCCGCAGGCCCAGTCCCAAATGCCGGAGTTAGATGCCCAGATTGACACCGCGACTTGGCGAAAGAAGCTGAGTGAGCTACAATTCACGACCCGCAATGGGTATGCCTTTAGGAGTCCATTTCGTTTTGACATGAAGTTTAATGTACGCTCCCAAACGCAAACGTAGAATCTAGACAGGAACCGGTCCTGGAAGACCATTTTCTTTTCATGTTACCCCTGTGCAGATAGCTTCTGTTTGTTTTGGGAGGGTACCTTGTTTAATGCGTTTAATGGGTGCGTTATTTGTTGCGAGGCCCAGGAAAGCCACCTTTTTTTCTTCCGTTTTTTGTGGAGGGGTCCCCTTTGACACATACCAAGTGGGATGTCCCCGAAGCCAGAGAGTGGATCATGAAATGTTTTCCGAGCGTGTGTTTGGAGAGATCTGCGTGAATGGGGCTGTCTCAACAATTGGAGGCACCCACAAAAGGGTCATTTCCTTTGGTTCCTGGCCAGCAACCTTCCCGGCCTGCACAAACCCGAATTTATTGGGGAAAGAACCCCGGGCTGAGATACTAGTCAGCCGAAGAACAGAAACAGCTAACCCAGTTTCTGTGTGCTTTGCTCGAAGATATTTTGTATCTCAGCATCAGCGAGTGGCTTTTTGTTTTGGGTGAGTTTTTCATGAAAAAGCGCCTTCAGTGGGGTGCAACATTAGCGAGGGACAGGTCCCTTCAGCATCACTAGGTGCATGAATTCATCCCATTCATAGTTGGGTGAGAACAGATGGCATAATTTCCGGTTTAGTCATCCCCCTTTACTTACGCACAACCGGGAAAGCGTGCCGATTACTTTCAGCGTGTAAATTGTGACTTTCAGCGTGCCAATTGCTTTCAGCAAGCAACCGCGGGGGTCTCTTTTTGGGAGGTACGCTTTTGGGGCCCTTGGGTGACCCGTAGTCTGACACATACCTGTGTGTTTTTAGGTCTCCAACTTGCTCCGAGGTGGGTGACGAGGTCAACACTTTGCACAATGAACGCCTCAAGCCCAGAGAATTCGCGACAAGTCAATCTTCCGCAGTAGCTACCCCATGTGAGGGAAATTCCCATGACCTGACCGAAAGCCCACGAAGGTCCTTTACTTGCAGGGTCCGTCTTTCCAAGCCGCCAAGCATAGTGACACAAAGGGCCATGGTTTAAACAAGTTGCTTTTCTTTTCCAAATTCGTTTGCGCATCAATTTGTTTGTTGCGAACTTTGTCATGACTGGTCAGAAGTCCAAAGCGTTTGAGGCACAGCTGAAGCTAGAGGTGGAGCTCAGAAGCAATACACTACTCGCAAGGGCAAAGTCAAGGCCTGCGATATTGCGGAATACAGCCCCGATTGGTGCGGGGTTGGAACGGGCTTGCCGTCTGCGGTTGAGCTTGGCCTGGATAATTTATGGCACTGCTGGCTGCTTCGCGCTAAATCCAGGAGATGTCCTCCTCGCCACGCCGCAAGGCCAGTTAAGAGTTCAACACTCGCAAGCAAAAGAGGTCGCTTCAAGGCGGTGTTGACACTTTGCGCACCAAGTTCCATCTTTGGGGGTTGGTTTGACTCACTTGCCCAAAGCGAATCGACCTTTTGACCTTGGAGATTCTTCTTTTTGGGCATAGGAAGGGACACGTTCAGATGCAACAGAATGATGTGGGACGTGATTGTCTCTTCCTTCTCTTTCTCTTTCATGTGTGTTTTCTTCCTTCCCATTCACCTCGCTTCTCTCTATTGATTGCGAGGAATGGGATGAAACACACATGAGAAAGAGACCGAGGGAAGTGAGGGATGGTGAGTGAATGGCCTTCCTTTCCGTAAACCTCCAATCTCAAGTGATGGCCCCAAAAGGTTAACATCTAATTTCTGGAACTAAGAAGGCCCTCGTATTTTGCTACTCAGGTCGGTCCAGGCAGGATCAGCGCGACTTGTTGCGTGCGGAGATGCAGCGGCTTGCCGAGGAGGTCGGGCCTTTCGACCTCAAGGGCCAGCAATCTTCCCAAAACCTCCGGGAGGGAACAGCTGAACGCTTCGGGGGCTCTGGGCTCTCCACAAAGTCTACCTCAACTTTGTGAATTCTGGTCCACGCTCCGTGAAGCACGAAATCCAACGTATGTTCCGAAGAAGGTTTCCCCTTTCAAGCTGAACAGGCCACCCTCAGAAAACACATCCCTTGTGAATGTTGAGGCAAGCAACAGATGAGCAAGGCTCAAATCATGTCATGATAGTTGTTCGATGCCCTGCAGGTGGTGAATAAGTTGTCCAATTTACTTACTTACTTACTTACTTACTTGACTACTTAACTACTTAACTACTTAACTTGCTTGCTTACTTACTTGCTTGCTTACTTATCTATATCTCATTGCCAGAGTTGGCTTGCCTGTTCATGTTTTGCCTTTGAGTTTAACTCCATGTCCCCTTTGAACCAGCAACCTGTGCACTTTTCCATGGTCTAATGCCCATCTCAACTTCAAGTGGGCCCGGGATCCTGTCCTTCAGCCCTTTTTTTAAGATTGAGCAGAGTTTGGCCTCGGGAATGTGTGGACTGGAGTCAGCAAGTCAATCTTCCATGAAGGCTTTTGGGCCGCAAACCATCCCTCAGAGCCCTAGCCTCATGTTTCCTTACCAGCAGAAAGTTGTTTGTCCTGTCGACATGTGGCCCCAACTCATTTAGTGCAAATTGTCCGTTAATTTGGGGGTTCCCTATCTCAACCGCCAAAAGTGTTTCGTGAACCCATCGGAGTGTACTTGAAGAATTATCTAGCTTTGCCTTCCATGGTTGATTCCCATCCAAAAACAGATTGCCAACATGGTTTGAAAAGAGAACGATGAGTCAAGAGAATGGGAAATCAACCCGTAGCAGGGCCTTCCCTTCCCATCGAAATCCACTGGAAGAGCTCACTTCCTGAATTCCTGGACTTGATACTTTTCGGAATCGGACCTGCTTTTTTTGCGCGAACCCGCTGAGGCAGTGAGCTTCTGTCCACTTTCATCCATGCGGCATGGTCATCAACTTGACCATGATTAACAGTACGTAAAGCGGGTTGATGTGTGCTCAGAAGGGTCTGATTTGAGGTACGCTTTGTCCAAGCGTGGACGTGGACAGAAGGATTTGCAAAGGATGGTCCAAAACTCCTGCGAAGGCCATGATTCACCACCATCTCTCGTTCCAGGTGAAGCATGCGGAGGAGACCATCGCTCGAAGCGGGCCCGGAAGCCATGTCTTTTCTGAACATCATCCAACATTATGTCATACATCGGGGTTGACTAAATATGAAATCATGTGAGAATGCGATTTTCAGTGTAAAAACTGATGGAGACCAAGAAACAGTGGGGAATGTTTTCATGGGACCCGCTTAACCGCTTGATAAAAGCTCTCCTCGTATCGCATGCACCAAAGCACAACATGTGTTTTGCATCCGAAAGGATCACGCTGAAGCCATACGAGTTTTTTCTCGGTGTTCTGAGTTTGATTTGGTGTCAGGCTCCATGGTTATTCTCTGTTTGTTCTTCTTTTTCCGCAGTGGTGTCCACTGTTGGATAGGCCTCCTCTTTTCGGAAAACAAAGGAAAACAAGGAACACAATGGAACACAATGGGACACAATGCTTGACTCGCAAAGATGGGCACTATGTTTGACTACCTGACCTCTAGTGTGTTTGCTGTCAATATGTTGTCTTGTCCGGTTCCTCCTCAGACCATCAACCATTCCCCAAGCGTCTGCCGAACCGTTGTGACGCATGATGTTGCATGGGAATTGAGCAAATCGAAAGAGTTCGGAAGTACCCGCAAACTCATTCAGGTGCGCCAGTTCTGACGATTGGCAACAGTTGTGAATTTATACATTGGAATAGAACCAGAGACATAAGGCAAAGAAGCAAAGGTTATCCAACTGCGCCTCAAGTTGTGCAGGGACAAATGCGTGTCAAGGTGAAGGGTCATTTCAACTACGTGGTCACAAGGAATGGACAAACCCTATTTGAGCATGTATTGGATTCATCTGAATCCAAGTTAGAAACTGCGGGTTGCGCTTTTTACCTACCACCTAGCGGATGACTTTGGAAAAATAATGGTGTTAATGATGGGAATCGTATGTGCCCCATGCTTGAGGCATCTTGGGGCTTCCCACTTAGGATTAGGGAACCAAGCCAAGTTGTTAGTTACCTTTCGGTTTACCTTAAAATTATCCGCAAACAACTAAGCGGGACATACCAGAAAGGGGGATTCCACTTTGCTTGTAGCTCCCCCCAGAGCTTTTGCATTCTGTTTTTGCGTGGTCGTTTTATTTTTTGGGGGGGGGAGGGCAAGACTCCATGAGTATCTTGTAAACATATCCCGTCAAGACACGTTCGCAGGAATCTCTTGAGCCATGTGCCAGTCTAGATTTGTGCTCCTTGTGTCCTCTTCACGCTGTTTGAGGACGCCCCGTTGCGGAACGTTTGTAACAGACGGGGTGCTCCGCATCTCAAGAAGTCTTCAAACACCCCCCAACCATTGCGTTTGGACTGTACATTGGATTTTGGACGAGGGAAAGAACAGTTGTTGGGAGGTGCTGCAGTGTTTTTGTTGAGGATATTCCGGTTCGCGGGTGTATCCCGAGCAAACCTGGGACCAAGGCGTGAGCTTCAGGAGCTACAGGAGTGGCGCCATAGGATGCAGGCGCCGTTCCACGGCCGAAAGACGGGATCCTTTTTGGGGTTAACAGGGATGGTCTTCCAACTGAACGTGTTTTTTGTTTTCAGAATCGTTGCAATGATTCCTGTTAAGGGAACCATGGCGATGGGCCCTAGGAGTGCGGCCATGGGTCATGCGATTTTAGACTGGCCAAAGGGGGCCAGTGAGGTTGCTCCACACATAAATTCATCCCCCGCAAACAACACATATTGAGCCCCTTGTTGATAGGGCCGAGGTTCCAATTTCGTCCCATGATAAGTATTGTACAAGCTAACGCATGGGGAATTGGTACGCTTGTTTGGAATATTGGTCTATTTTGCTGTCACTCACTCACCAAATCCCATGTCAGTTGGGGGCACGATGAACGTTCACCGTGGCTCATACAGAAAGCATCGTACAAGCTAAAGCAAGGATATTTGGTATGCTTGTTTAGGAGATCGGCAGAATACATGTAGGACAATGATGCAATTATGTATAAACACATGTTGTATAATTCATATTATACATATCAACCAAGCATCATAATACATATGAACAGGGCCTTGGTTTAAGCATGACGTAAATAATCCAACTAGCCTGTAACAAGGCAAACACAAGTTAGGTTCAAACACATTATTTTGTGTAGGTACTCTTGAGTCCCTTGAGTCATTGCCAGGAACCTCTCAAGGCCGAGGTCTCCAAAAAAATGTTATCTAAGGTAGACGAAATGTGAATCAGAATCTGAAAGTATTCTCTGCCACTGGCCAACTTGGCTCCGTTGTGCCTGGGAAGCACAAGCCGCCGCAAGACTTGACTTGAAGGCCCGCATCATTGCTATCGGCTTCAGTGTCCCCTCTTGCGGCCTCATGGCTTTCACAGCGTCACGCGAAGTGGGTTTTCCAGAAGCAACAACTTGACCAGACACAAGGTGACGTGGCAGGCAACGTGGGCAAAGT